TTTTCATTACTAGAAAACATGGCGGCTTTCAAAGAGGAAATTTAATTTGGCGTCTCAAATTAGACCAGAAGCAGAATAACGTCTGTCCAGATGCTCTAGAATCTAGATGATAGTCTCACAAATATATTAGAACAGTAATATTTTTTTTTCATTTGACACCATGAAATGATATAAGATTTATACAGTGATGGTGCCTCGCCCAACGACCACAATTTGTTCTGGTGCAGTGGTCGTTGGGTGAAGTGGTCGTACGGCGGAACACTTTTTCCCTTAAGATATAAGGGAAATCACTTTAATTGGTTCCTTAAAAAAGTTTTCCTGCAGAAAAATGTAAAAATTTGCTTACATTTTCAAATCACAAAGCACAGATCCCTATAAACACTGCCACAGTTCATTTGAATGCTTTTCCTCAGTAAATTGCCTTGCTGTCTTCCAAAAATAACACAGAAAATTAATAGCAATTGTACTTCATGCACATGCGACATCTATTGGTGGAGCAGGAGTCAAACCTCCTGTGTAATTTTGCATAGATGTCACTTTTGCATGAAGTACAATTGCCATCAAATTAAGGCGTAGGATATCACCAATTACAATGTCCTTCTGTTCTTCTTACTTTCCCTCAACAAAAATGCTTGATAAACAACAATTTTTGTTGAGAGAAAGAAATAACAGCTTACTTTTTTTCATTTTATACTTATGTAGATCAAGGGATGGCCAGAAAATGTTTTGTTAGGCTGACAACTCCAATTTTGATGTGCATTTTTGTGTGCCAGAAATTGGATTTCTAACTTATTTTGTGCATTTCTTCAGAGAATCAAGTGAGAAAGAAAGATAATGAATTTCCAAATGGATGGAAGATTTCTCCTGTTTTTTTGCCATTCTTTGGTGCCATCCTCAATTTTACTATTTCACTTTCTTTTTCACTTAATTCTCTGAAAGAATTGAAAAAAATTAGAAGGGCATTTGGGAAAATCCAATTTTGACCTGAATTTAAAAAATTCAGGTCAAAATCGGATTTTCCCACCTAGCAACAAATGGTCTCTGGGTGGGACAATGGTCGTTGGGCAGGACACTTTTTCAGGGTTTTCAGTGGTTGTTTGGCGGATCCGTCGTACGGCGGTGCGGTCATACGGCGAGGCACCACTGTAATTGAAATCTGACATCCTAAAATCTTTCTTATCCAATTCCTGTGCTACCTTCGAATATTTTACAAACACTTTCCTAATTGCTGATGATGACATTCAACATTTTTTCATACATGTTAAAATCCATGGCTACTCTTTTAGCTCTGTGTGTTCTTTCATATCTCTTCACATGTGAGAAATGCATCACATTTTCATAGGTGTCTATAATAAGCAGTGCAATTTCTGCAGTATAAATATGCTGGTTGATGGATCATCAGAGCACCTTCTTTTATTCTGCCCAGCATTCCAAAGCTACAGAAATGAGCCTCAAAAAGATTTGGGACTCATAAAATTCAATGAAAAGACTCTTTCCAAAATCTTGCAGACCAACATAAACAGTTAACCTTATATGATTCCTCATCAAAGTTTATCTCAAAATTGTTCAATTCTTATAAGCTTCAATTCTTAACCTTCAAAGGTCAGATTATAATTATCAATCTTACTGTATTTTATCTCATTGTGTCAAATGAAAAAAATTGTCACTGTTCTCATATATTATCTTTTTTATCCAAGTCATGCGCTACCTTCGAATATTTTAGAATCACTTTCTTAATTGCTGATGCTTGAATTCAAGAAAAATGTTTAGATGCGTTGAAATTCATGGTCGCTCATTTAGCCCCGTGTGTTCTTTCATCTCTCTTCACATGTAGATTTAAGAAGTATTGTATCTCAGTTTGGCATTTTTGAAGAAATTTAAAAACGCCGGGTTCAGAAGAAGTCACATTTTTCATTGATTTATAACTTTGTATTCGCCACAAAACCTTGAAAACATGATTTCCTTGATTAATCTACAGTATTCGTTATTGCACCTTATTTTGTTGTTTCTGAACCTATCCGATATCCGCAACTTATGCAAGATTTGAACGTCAACTGACGATTCTATGGAAAGGGAAGATCAGATTTTCGTTCCAGGTCAAAGCGAAGGCCTGGGAACACCGTGACCTTTTATTGTAGTTTTACGCTCGTTTCAGTGAATAAAAGAAAATATAACACTGTTTCGTATGCCCTTGATATCGTTTCCTACGGTTTCCATTCGTCGAACATAATTATATAAACATCGATTCAACATGCCCATGACAATTTCACGTGTTTCTTGCTTCTTGTCCTTGCTTCCAGTTGCTTGGAAATTAGATAAGCAAGGAAGTTGCGACAAGTGCAGAACCTTCTTTAATCCGTTGAACTGATAATTTATATCCGGGCTGAATATATAAGTGAGGTTTGAAAACTATAAAATTTTGCGATAATACGTTAAAGTCGTCAGTATAGATTGTTCAGTGCTGGGTTGCAAAGATGGCACGAGTCGCTCTGCTTTTCGTTTTGGCAATCGCTGGAGCTTCAGGCAAGATTTCTGTGAATTTAGCCCGGAAAATCCATCAAATTTAACGGAAATTCATTATTGAATTACAGCACTTCTTCAGTTGATGAAAATGTGGCAGATGGTATAATTTTAAACATTGATTCGAAGACGAAGGAAAAGAGAATTCATGCGCCTTCCGATTGAAAAACAAAGTTCATCCATCGTTCCATCGCGTACAAATTTATATTTATCGTATCATATCTTGATGGTTGTTCAAGAAATTATATCAACAGGAAATACATCGAAAATGTCCGAGTCTCTCTGAATTTTATGACTTCATTGCTGCACTTTTTATTTAAAATGTGTTATGTGCTGAATATAATTTAAACTTTTGAGTGTAGCAGCCCAAAAAACGCGAAGGTTCCGATCGAAGAGCACGTCCCTAAAATTTTTTTAGCGAGCTTATTCCTTCGATCAATTTTTTTTAAATAAAATACTTTTCAGCTGATTTTTTTCTTTTTCAATTTTTCAAAAATTGAAAAATTTTTTCAAATTGTATGATGTTTATTTTTTTCTTTTTAGCTCGATCCACGAAAACTCTGTCAGATGACGTGAGACGATCCGTTTTCGGAGGTCAGCGCGTCGTTGGCGGAGAAATCGCAGCACCAGGCAAGAAATAAAATGTTTAAAATCCATAATCAGTGCTCATCGAATTAATTGCCAGCTGGTTATTAATTAATTGGTCGACCCGCAGCCCAATTTCCGCACCAGGTCAGCTTGCAGTTTTTTGGCAGTCATTTTTGCGGCGGCAGCATCATCGCTCCGGACGTCGTTTTGACTGCTGCTCATTGCATCGAAGGATTCTGGGTCAGCTGGGGAGTCGCTGTAAGAAAAGAAAATGCGCATTTTTCATGAATGGGAAAATTGTGAATTAAAAATTTATCAAAGATGTACAGCACATTATTTATATTTTTAATGCTCATAGATCGTTGCCGGTATCAATGAATTGAGTGCATCTGGTTCCCAGTACAGAGAAGTTGGCGAATGGGATTACAACAACGGATTCCCCGGGTGAGTACAAACAATTTTGGCGCAAATAATTAATGCAACTTGGAAACTTCGGATGTCCGCAAATAATTGCTACGCGTCTGTTAAATTAAAATTTACTCTACATGAAATTATTGAGAACTGAGCATGGATGCAGTGCCAAAAACAAATTTTAAAATACATTTTCTATCATTCCTGGAATTTTTCGAGTATTAAATGCAGTATAAAACGAGGCTTTCCCTTTTTCTTTTTTCTTCTCGATTGTTTGAATTCAAAACTATTACTGAACATATTTTTATAAAATATTTGAAAAAATATTTTAACATAATATTTTTGAATCTTTAAATTTAAAATGCAGTCAAACCCCATTAAGCCACCCCCCCCCCCCCCAATAAAGCACCACCTGCGGCAACTGCCAACATTTTGAATGAAACAAATCTCCTCCATGTTAATTCTATGGAAAACCTGGATAAGACGCCAATCGCCATCTGCCAGCATTAGTGATGAAACAAAAGTGCTGTTCCCTATTAGTTTTGTCTTTGTTATAGTGCCAACATTGGGGTAGAATTATAATTTCTGTCAAGGATCTTGTATTTGTAAGAATAAAAACATAATAATGATATTTTTTAATGTGAACAATATATTGACCTAATAATCTTGAAATTTGAATGAATTGATGCAGCAAAATAATTTTCTGAAAGATTAAGCCATTGAAATATCACAGCATTACTCTTTGGAAAATTTTTTAAGTTTCTAGAAAAGCTGCATTTCATGACTGATGGAGGAAAATTGCGTATTTTTGATCTAATAATATAAAATGAAATATTCCATAAACTTCCAACCCCTTTAAACTGCCAAAATTGCTCTGGACAAATGGTGGCGTCTTATTGGGATTTGACTGTAGTATCTCAGCCAACCCAATTTGAATACCAGCCTTTATTTGATGTGGAACTTGAAAAAAAGAATTAAATAAAATGTCTGGAGACACGAAGTGAGGTTATGACAAATCTCAACACCGCAATTATCTTCAGTTTGCGTTTGTATTTGCTGAAAATGGGTCAATATAGCAAAAGTGCATTCATTGACCCCCAAAAACCCGAATTGGAACAAAGCTCATAAAAAGTGGAAATTTTCGGAAAATTCTTGCTCAGCTAGGATTTATTCCGAGCTAAAAAAAAATAATAATCTAGGCTCAAGTAAGGTGTCCATGTTGTTTCAGACGAGGGGGGTTGATCTAAGATTCTCCGCGGGCTCTCGCAAATTTTGTTGTTGTTTTGTTTTAAAAAATAGCGTATGATGAAAATATACAGTACCATGATTATGTATTTGACAAACAGGTCGGGTGTGGAAGACGACATCGCCTATATCCGCCTGAGCTCGCCCTTCAACCTGGACGACGCATTGCAGCCTGTCAACCTGCCAACACCTGATCTCACTCCGTCCCTGGAACCCGGTGCCGTGCAAATAATTCTCTCATAATTCCTATACAGTACTGTACTGCTGACTTCCTCCTTTTTTTCTGAAGCAATTCTATCAAAATAGGGAAGAGAAAGAAAGCTTTTCAGACTTGATAACGATCCCGTTTTCTTTCCATATTCCGCTAACAAGGTCCTTTTACGTGGCACAGACCGACCCCTCGCTAACTAGGACGACCTTTGCACCGAGGACTGCTTGAGGCGAAACGTCTGTAAGTCCCACTCAACTTTAGTACGCACTAACTTATATGAGAGAGATAAAAAAAGCAAGCAAAGAAGAGATTGCAAGATTAAATTGAGAATATTGAATCTCTGTATAGTGTTGCTGGCTTCCAAATGCCCTGGCTTAAAAATTGTTCAGCTAACAAACTTCTGTGTTTGGCCTCAGCTGCTCTGGCTAACAAACCATGACTTGACTCACAAACTTTGAGTTTTCCAATTGATCATGGGTTATTTTTGTTATAGAAATCGTTTTATATCCCTAAGTACAAATTTGAATAAATAATTAAGTAGGTTCTTACAGAGTTTTCAAATCACCGGTTAAGAACTAGCGGTTAAAAAATAAGTAAGATTCACCCATAAAATTCAACAGCTTTTTAGCATTAAAATGTTCCATCAAAAGTCCTTGGTCTGTGATGAAGTTTGTGGTGTTGCATTTAGAATTTTCAAGAAGAAACCTCTGGAGAAACACACTATAAAATGTCACTTCTATGGATTGTTTTACTGTAAAGTGAGTTTCTTTTATATTGCCTTGAAAAGATTTAATGGATTTTAGGCCTGAAACATTTTTTTAACAATGCATCTTTGTTAATTTCATGGGCTTTTTCAAGCTTCTGGAACTAAATTAAAGTATTCCTATACTTTCTTCAGGGAAAGTATGATTTGCCTTACAAACTATTTGGCTAACAAATTTTTTTCAGGTACCGATTCAGTTTGTGATTCAAGACCCAACTGTATAACCAATGACTTTCAAAATAAAAATTTTACAGCGTCATGAAAAGGAAAAACGAATGGATTTTTACAATTTTTCTGGGCAGCACATTTCCTCAATTTATCCCTTACAATTTTTGAAAATTTGTCACAAACATTGGGGAAGATTCTGAAAATTTTCCAAAACTCATCGAGGTACTGAAGACTTAGGAGACCTAATTTTTATACCTTTGAACATTGGATTATAAGTGACGAATTCTTCCAGCTCTTGGTGCATTTCTTCTTGAAAAAAATTCAAGTAATGCATTTTTTTTCTTTGCAAACTGCTCCAGTATACAGCCATAATTTTTGGGATCATGTACAATGTGACCATTTAAAATTCAAAAAGTATTGTCTCAGACATCTCAACAGCTCGCAGACACATACAAAATGCGAATTGCAACTGCATCTTGTGGTTCCTTTGTAGAATTTTTTGCATTAGCGCAGAAACTTTTATTTTTGGCAAATCAAATCATGAAGTGTTCAATGTTACTCCCTTGGATACAACAGGAAACGTTATTAATTGTAAGACATGCGTATTTTTCTTGTGCCTCAAAATTTGAAGAAAATTTAACTGCACCTGCAAATATAAGATGAACTTTCTTTACATTCAAGTTCTACATAATTAGAGGAGTCTGTTGAATATCCTCAAAATGCCATCATTGCTGTACCTGCATGACCAACTCAAGCACTTCAAGATTCTAGCATATGTATTTTTTCAATTTGAAACTGTGGCGAAGATTGTCCTAATTCGACGTTGATTTTGCTTTATTGTCCAAATATTGTGATAGCGAAAAGCAATCGTGCATTGATTGACATGTGCAAATAAGAAACCATTTACTGCGAGACGCCTTGGAATATATAAACCACGCCCGAATGTTTTTTTTGTGTGCCAATTTCCGTGGGAAAAGGTACTTCTCGTATTCCAGCAAAATGAAAATTCGGTACCGTAATTCCTTTTGACAACACGGACTTCCCCCGAAAAATCTACGGCTTTTTCGTACCTCTGAAAAGACAAGCCCAAATAAAGGGAAAATAAATCCTCAAGATAAGATAACTGTTACGTAAAAATATTCTAATAAAAATTACAGTCTAATAAAAATTACAGAACAGCAGTATTTGAATAGTTAGACGCGAAAAAGTTGTAGCGCAGGTTTTTGGCAAGTCTTGAAAATTGCAGACAAATTTGAAGATCGATTTTTGTAGCTGTTCTCTTACTTGATTATTTACGCCAAAATCGTTCTTGTAATTGTTTCAGGGTTTTCAATCATTGCCCAGAACAGTCACATTCATTTTAGTATACAAATTTTTAATCATTGGTATATTTATTGGGGTTAAAGAACGCGAGAATTCCCACACAAAATATATTTGGAATTATTTTACAGGCATTTGAAACTTCCAAGAAATACAGTACAGCATAATCTCGTTACAAAGAATTTCATTATAACAAATAATTGATAACAAGGAAATTGTTTCTTAGGTCCCTGTTCATTTAGCCATAATGTTGAATCAGTTATCTTCCAAAAAATGTTTTCCTACATAAAGCTATTTTACTGGTCCCAATGCCAATTCATTGCAACAAGATTTTGCTACATAACCCGCCTGATTCTTGGTTGCAGTTTTTAATTAAAAAAAAAACGTTTCATGTTGTTTAGGTTTGTCTGATGAAGATTGCAAGGCTTTGTTTGATGCCATCGGAGGACCACCTCAAGGAGCAGAACTTGTGCCTGCAGCTCACTTCTGTGCATACACTGAGGATGGAGGAGTGAATGCCTGCTTTGTAAGTTTACTTAGTTCAAGGATATCTTACTTTTGTAGGGTTCTCTTAAACTGCAGTATTTTAAAATATTGGAAATTCGCTATTTTAAATGCCAGATTTGGGTTCCCTTTTTTGCACTCCAGGAACTCTATTTAACCCTCAAATTTTGAGCAGTGTGTCATGGGCCCATTGGATCCCAGACAAAGGAATTGAATTGTGCTGCCATCAGAATGCAAGTTTTGAATAAGAACTCAAACTCTTTTACACAGAGAACCAAAAACGACTTTGTTGTAAACAATTTCTTGTTCAACAACAGTTTTTTTCAAGGAGATTTTACTGTATGTAAGGTATCATTTTTGATGTGCCGGAATGATTTCAATGGATCTGGGGTTTTGTGAACCTTGTGAACGCTGAAAAGCAGCAAATATAAATCTCGCGCGTCAGTCAATCAATCAATAAAATCAATGGTGGGTGACATTGATTCAATAATTACTTAAATTGTCGTTCAATCAGGGTGATTCCGGTGGCCCACTGGTCTGCGAAGCTAATGAGGATGGCCAAAAGTATTTGTTCGGTGTGGTTTCCTGGGGTTCTCCGACCTGTGGAACCAAGGGTTTCCCTGCAGTCTACACCGACGTGCTGACCTACTTGCCATGGATCGCCGAAAATACCGGGGTCAACTAGGAAATGAATGGAATGCCTTGAAAAATAAAACGCTGCCATTCAAATTCATCCTTGATTTGCCGCACTTGATGTTTATTTGTTTGTTTTTTTTCAACCGGAAGGAAACGATTGCATCTCTGCCCTTGTTCATATTGGTGACACAGGGACAACAATCGTCAGTTGACTGCAAATCAGTTTTCCATTTTGGGCACTTTCTGTCTTCACCTTCCTCTTTTGAAGTGAAAAATACAATTTTTTTCTGTATCCGTAATGTGCTGCTTTTATTGACAGTTTCTTGTCATTCTCCAGTCATCCGCCCACATTTTGAGGAAGCCGCGAAATGATTTGAAGGCACCCTTGTTTAATGTACTGTATAGGTATCTAGAAGGCAATTTTCTCGGGAAACTTGAAAAAGTGAGGAAATCTTAACCCAACAAAAAACCAAGCCTTTCTTTTTATTGGCGCCCTGAGCTGGGGCAGTTATTCGAAACATGTTGCCACGAGATTACCGTTAATATTTTGGCTTTTGTCATACTGTCAATGAAAAATTAAAAATAAATATGTTTTCAAAAGTTTGCTAGAAATCCTCAATGTTTTATTACTGCACAGTATAAGGACATGTTTTGCATGGGTTGTCAGGCCAGAATGACAAAGGGTTTAAGCGTTGCTCAGCCTTTATGAGGCTGGATCCTTGAGATGGGAGTCCCACATGCTGGTTTATTGAAACAACCCACAGGAAACCAAGAAAGGTAAATCCTCAGACACACTCTCAATCACATAAACATGTACAGTGGTGCCTTGCCCAATGACCACACTTTGTTCCTGTGCTGTGGTTGTTGGGTGAAACGGTCGTACGGCGGAACACTTTTTCCCTTAAGCTATAAGGGGAATCACTTCAATTGGTTCCTGAAAGAAAAATTCTGACCAAAAAATGTTAAAATATGCCTAAATTTTCAAATCACAGAGCACAGATCCCTATAAACACTGCTACAGCTCATTCAAATGCTTTTTCTTACTAAATTGCCTTGCTGTTTTTCAAAAATAACCCAGAAAATTAATAGCAATTGTACTTCATGCATATGCAACATCTATGGGTGAAGCAGGAGTTGAACCTCCCATGTTATTTTGCATAGATGTCACTTTTGCATGAAGTACAATTGCTATCAATTTAAGCAATTTTAGGCCTAGGATATCACCAATTACAATTTCCTTCTGTTTTTCTCACTTTCCCTCAACAAAAATGCTTGATAAACAACCATTTTTGTTAGAGGAAGAAAGAAAAGCATAAATTTGTTTTCCCTTTTATACTTATCAGTTCAAGGGAAGGCCAGAAAATGTTTGCTAAGCTGACAGCTCCATTTTTGATGTGCCAGGAATTGGATTACTAACTTATTTTGTACATTTTTTCAGAGAATCAAGTGAGAAAAAAAGATACAGTAATGAATTTCTAAATGGATGGCAGATTTCTCCTGTTTTTTGCCATTCTTTGGTGCCATTAAAGTATTGTTTCACTTTCTTTTCCACTTAATTCTCTGAAAGAATGTAAAATATAGGTTATTAGGGAGTTATGGGAAGAAAAACATTTTTCAAGTAAAACTTCTGAGTTGCCTGCCTAGCAACAAATGGTTGCTAGGTGGGACAATGGTTGTTGGGTGAGACATTTTCTTGGGGTTTTCAATGGTCATTTGGCAGATCCGTTGTTGGGCAGTGCAGTCATATGGCAAGGCACCACTGTAAATTGCTCAGACAAGCCTCAGAGAACAATCCTCGAAACAATCCACCATCAGGCAAGGTTTGCAGTTGAGTGAAGGCTTTGGAGCCTTTGCCAAGTATCATTTTGGTCCTGATTAATATCTGTTCACCCGGTTTACCACATTGCGGCAAATTGGGTGCCACTCCACTTCCTGGTCTGCAGGTTCCTTTGGTGACTTGTGGACATGTCCATGCCCAAGCAAGGATGCTATGCTTGGGTCATGCCACATCACTCACAACCCCACATGAGTGACTGCTTTCAAGTCATTCAGAAACGCATGTGCGGAATTTTTCTGTTGGCAAAGTTGCTGCCCTGAAAAGGGGAGAACACCTGGGCTTGAAACTTAAATTGGCGCGTCTTGGGACAGACCAAATTATTGTTGTGTGACAAGAAAAAAAAAGGTCAGTGCTTTAGGGGAAAGAATCCCTGTTTGGTTTGCGCACCAAAAAAGTACAGTACAGTACTGTGTTTTAATCCATATTTAAGTACCTGTACTTTATTAATAATTTCCAATAAATAAATTCTAACCAATCAAGGTGTAGGGCTTGAAAATCTCTGCTTTAAGTTTAAAACCCTACAACTCATGCAATTAAGGGAACCTTTTTGAAAACCCCTCAACAACCCTTCGGAGGAAGAAATTCACATTTTCCCCATTTTTTCTACCCAAAAACTTATAGGATTGAATAGCTTGAAGCATTTTGAATTTGATAGCTGCCTTTTCTGGTGCTTAACCTTTTCTGATGCTAATAGCACCTGAAAAATCTGAGCAATTTTTCAATGATTGGACTCCTAGAATCAAAAAGCTGTCGTACAAGGTAGCCTCTGGGACTGAATTTTTTTTTACATATAAATTGAGTCTTGAAATAAATTGTTTTTTGAAGGTGCAAAACAAAGAAAGAAAAGAAAATTGGTTGAAAATTTATAAAATAGTGTGTTACACAATCACATCCTGGTGCAGTGGTGCTGCTATAAAATGGTCCAGAAACTGTATTTTCAAATTTCTAAAAGAAGGGCCGGTATGCTTTGGGCAGTAACTTATTCTCAGATTTGTGGATGTCTTTTGATTTTTCTCTTTTCAATTTCAAAATTCATAATTTTTGCAGGGTACAGCGTGGAGTCTATTGAATCATCATTGCAAATGCAACAAGAGGCAATTCTTAAGAATACAAGGTCAGTTTTCAAACCCATTCCCTTGAATATAAGACGCACTTATCATACAAAAGTTGGCTACAAAAAACGGGGGTTCTGTTTCTTGAATTTGCATATCTCCTAGATTTGCTAGTAAAATTAATTTTGCATTGAAAATTGTCAACTGATTTATTTTTGTATGCTAATTTGAACAGGTTTCCATTTCAATTCAGCACAAAAGATAGGGCAGAGAGATTGTGGTAAGCTTAATCAGGTCAGCAAAGTTGGGATAATATTGAGAAATTTGCTAGCTGCTCAAGGAAAAAATTAAAAGTGCAATTTAGCACCTATAAAAAATCCAGATAATAAATTCCAATACTTTTCACATAGTGCAGAGATTTAATAGAAATATGAACGAAAATATTTTTCAAGATTTTCCTTTTTTTTCTACATTCAATGCATAGGATTAAGCTGGAAGGTCCAAGGAAATAAGGGTTTTCTATGTTGTCCTCAAAATCCTCAAGGCATAACCAGATGGAATTTCTGCGACCTTAGTCAAACAACAACGACCCAATATGCAGTAAAATATAATATAAATATCGCTTCTAATGGAAAAATCAACTTCCTCCTTGAAAACACAGTTGCCTAACTTGAAAACTCCTTAATTCAATTTTTGTTGCATCCCTTTTGAGTTTCACTTAAAAAGGTTCAGGATTAATTGATTAAATTTTTCATCAAATATGTTTTATAGCTGGCTCATGCCTGAACTGAGATTACAGCTCGTATTTAACTAAACTGGGATAAACGCCCACGCTTTTTGGGTCTGCGGTCGTGAGCAAATGAAAAAGAATCCAGAGCCCCTAAATTGCATCAGTAATGATGAGATGTAAATTACGAAAATTTCGCGGTCATTGATTTTCGAGGCAGTCATAATTTTAGCGAAACGTGACAAGCAACATTGTAATTCCTGCAGTCACACGTGCCGATACGCATAATTCACAAAAAGCTGCTCAAAACGATTAATTATAGGCACACAGAAAAAAACCTGCCAATTTCATATACGGTATGCGTGAAACGACATTTGCCATTCGTCCCACACTCAGAAAACAATCGCCTGAAAGTTCTCACCTTGTCATCGTGGTCAATGTCACCTGCTGTGCCGATATGAGGAATATTTTTAATTATACGCCAAATTAGTGGATTGCATATCAGCAGAATTCTGCACGCATATAAAAGCTAGACAATTCGATTTGCACGTCCCATCCTTGGAATTTTTGGCAGCTTCGGACTCGAGAACGAATCATGAAAACCGCCTTTGTTTTGTGCTTGGCAGTCGCCGCTGTTTCCGGTGAGCTTCTCTCGGTGAAATGATCTATTCGAAAATATAATTAATGCATAATTAATTTGAATATAAGTATGTTGATTTAACAAAATTCAGGCTTAACGCTCAGGAAATTTAACGCTTGAAAAACGTTCCTCATCCCATATAAGCATCTAATGCACACAAAATAAGATAATTTCATGCTCGTTTTTTTTTTTTTTTTTGATCAAATCAATTCGTTCATTTTTTACGATTTCGGAAGAATAATAATGAATTTCTTGAGCTCCGTCTTCCAAACATTTTTCCTATAAAATGAGTTCCACAAAAGACCGGATTTTATTTTGATTCCGCATAGAATATTTTTTGAATTCCAAAATATATAGCATGTTTGTCTTTTTATTTTAGTAGACGAAGGTTGAAGTTTTATTAAAAATGGCTGATGAAGATTGTGATCAGCTTTAGCTCGGAAATTTTTCCCGAACGACTTCGACTTTAAATTTTCGATCAATGATAATAAATCCGATCAATAATGATAATCCTTCAGAAACTGTTTTTTGGAACATTTAAAAAATACGATAGCCGAAAGCCGATAAAATAATTTTTATGACCAATTCAATTAAGGAATAAATTATTTTTTCTATACTTTCTGCGAAAATAATTTTTTTTTAATTAATAAAGAATTTTTCAGCTGAGACGCTCGTGAAAGTGTCCTGGTATCCGGAAAATTCCGTCTAAATACCATATGCACGAGAGAATAAACAATTTATTAAATTAGACCTTAATTTCACTATTGGCTAAATTTTTCACCTTTTCTTTCATCTAGCAAGGTCAGCAGGTCGACTTCCTGATATTGTCCGCAACAGGCTCCTCGGAGGACCCAGGGTTGTCGGCGGTGAACTCGCTGAACCCGGTAAATCGTTGCTGAATTCATCACTTTGAAAAACCAAAACGACTTATTGAATTTTCGTGCTTTTCCATTGCAGGTCAGTTTCCGTACCAAGCCAGTTTGCAATATTTCGGCCAGCACTTCTGCGGCGGTGACATCGTCGCCCCCAATGTAGTTCTCACTGCTGCTCATTGTTTGGAAGGCTTCTCCGCGTCTGAAATCACTGTAAGTGGAAGAGTGCCAATTTTATTTTTTATTATTTGACTGCAGTGAATTTTTTAATTATTTATTATCATTTTTTGCAGGTCAACGTTGGCTTGAACAACTTGTTCAACCCTGGCTCGAATTTGCAGCAGCGCAGCGTGGCTCGCATGGAGTACAACAACGAATTCCCCGGGTGAATACGGCGTTCCGTTGAATTGAATAATAAAAATTGTCTCTGGATATATTTTAGAGGATTGTGAGAGGGATTTGAATTTTATTTTTATTGTGGATTTTTTGACAGATCTGGTTTGACGTACGACATCGGATACATCATCCTGGAGAGCGACCTCGATTTGAACGACGCCGTGCAACCCATTCCTTTGCCCAGCGCTGATTTGACTCCGTCTCTGGAACCCGGTAAATTTACATGCATATATAATTTATATTCACCAGAAGAAACTCATACTTCATACAGTGAGACCCCATGATGCGGACATGATTGGTGCATCAAGAGTGTCCCTAAGTTAAATCTCATTTTCCCTTGGACTTACTGTATATAAATTTTAATTTGTGTTTTATGGACAAAATATTCAACAAAGTTTTAAAAAATTGTCTCCAAATTAAAACTGATTCAATTAATATCTTTCAACAGAATATGGACATTTGGAGCATTGAATACGGATGCCTCTCTACAGTACTGTACATATCATTGAAATGTTGGCATTCTCCATAAAAATAACATTCAAGTCAAAAATAGAGAAGGAAGTCCCTCTACGCTGGAGATAATTTTTTTTAAATTAGCTAAATGGATGGTAAGTTGATGACACAAATTCCAAAAAACTTTTCTTATATGGATTTTAGCGTTGGAAACAACATCTGTTTCTTTAAATTTGGTCTGTGACTTATTTGCAATTATAGCACACAATGTCCATATGTTGAGTCAGTGTTTGCATGTTGGGCCTTTTTGATGCATTTTCTAATGGAAAATAAGTGTCCCTATGTCGAAATGTCCACATGTGTGGGCCTCACTCAGAAAGCCAAGTTGTCAAGAAATTTTTTTTTTGTGAACAAAAGGGTGGGAAACGATATTCATTTTAAGAGTTTTTTTCTTAAACACAGAGATGCTCAAAACGTCTCGATGATCCCAAGTTTAAATTTGCATGGAACTTTGTTTTGCGATTCGTCAAGATCGCAAAAAATGCATTTCCCTGGACAATCCGCGTAATTTTACAGAAATGGTGGGCGTTAATATCGATATTCTGTTTTTTATGCAATGATCCTCATCGAAAGGACTTTCTTTTTCGATCAAGGCATCTATATAGTCTTGAAACTGTTTCCCGGAAAATCCTACAAATCCGAAGTATTTTCGATTGCGTTTATTCATTATTTCTATACAATAGGCAGAGGACCAGAAAGTCTTTCACACCATAGAGAACGGGATTTTTAATGATTACTTCTTACGCATACTCAAAGAAAATTTTCAAGCAGACCTAGAACCTTTTTTTTTTTGAGAATTACGGTGTTGTAATAGTTACAGAGAGCACAGATGCATAAATTTTGAGCTACTAAAAACTATGAAGTGACTTTCTTTATCAATGGAATAAAAGAAGAGCACAGTATTAATTTTCGCAAGCAAAATTCAATTGATATCTTCAAGATATCATCTTGTAACAGAATATGGACATTTGGAGCATTGAATACGGATGCCTCTCTACAGTACTGTACATATCATTGAAATGTTGGCATTCTCCATAAAAATAACATTCAAGTCAAAAATAGAGAAGGAAGTCCCTCTATGCTGGAGATAATTTTTTTAAATTAGCTAAATGGATGGTAAGTTGATGACACAAATTCCAAAAAACTTTTCTTACATGGATTTTAGCGTTGGAAACAACATCTGTTTCTTTAAATTTGGTCTGAGACTTATTTGCAATTATAGCACACAATGTCCATATGTTGAGTCAGTGTTTGCATGTTGGGCCTTTTTGATGCATTTTCTAATGGAAAATAAGTGTCCCTATGTCGAAATGTCCACGTCTGGGGGCGTCACTCAGAAAGCCAAGTTGTCAAGAAATTTTTTTTTTGGTGAACAAAAGGGTGGGAAACGAAATTCATTTTAAGAGTTTTTTTCTTAAACACAGAGATGTTTAAAACATCTCGATAATCCCAAGTCTAAATTTGCATGGAACTTTGTTTTGCGATTCGTCAAAATCACAAAAAATGCATTTCCCTGGACAATCCGCGTAATTTTACAGAAATGGTGGGCGTTGATATCGATATTCTGTTTTTTATGCAATGATCCTCATCGAAAGGACTTTCTTTTTCGATCAAGGCATCTACGAGTATATAGTCTTGAAACTGTTTCCCGGAAAATCCTACAAATCCGCAGTATTTTCGATTGCGTTTATTCATTATTTCTATACAATAGGCAGCGGGACCAGAAAGTCTTTCATACCATAGAGAACGGGATTTTTAATGATTACTTCTTACGCATACTCCAAGAAAATTTTCAAGCAGACCTAGAATTTTTTTTTTGAGAATTACGGTGTTGTAATAGTTACAGAGAGCACAGATGCATAAATTTTGAGCTACTAAAAACTATGAAGTGACTTTCTTTATCAATGGAATAAAAGAAGAGCACAGTATTAATTTTCGCAAGCAAAATTCAATTGATATCTTCAAGATATCATCTTGTAGTTCAAGATAAATAAATAAAACTTGAAATTCTGATTGTTTGTTGGAAATTCTCGAGGAAATAAACATTGTAACTGTAGTACTATGAAGAACTGCCAAAACTTTGCAGAAATTGAATACGATGAGAGTGATGAATTTTACATTTGCTTCCGAAATGTTGACCGTTTTTTGGCACTAAAAATTGGGATGTGCATAATAATGAATGTACTGCAGTTTCACATCCTCGATTACCTTGGGATTGAGAATCAAAGAGATTATAATTAAAGATCGTTGTCATTTGAATTTTATAAATTGAGGTTCCATCTGCTCTTGCAGGAACCTCCTCGTGTTTGTTTTGTGCGAATTCAAAAAAAAAATTTTAAATGCAATGGCCAAGTCAGTGATGTTCTCTTGATGAAAGCTACGTTTCCGAACCTCGGGTTCTTTGTGGGTAGGAATTCAACAGAAAAAAAAGAACCCCGATTCAAGATTTAGTTTAAATTGAACTACAGTTGAGATAATGTTATACCCTTTAAAAAAAACTCTTTCCCCTCTTCTCTGTTATAGGAAAGTGTACCCTGTCAGGATGGGGTGCGACCAACTCAGGGGGTTCTGTGTACCCGGATGACCTGTTCTACGCCGAACTCCAGGGGTTGAGCGACGATGATTGCCAACAGCTCATGGACAACCTGGCGAACCCGCCATTCGGGGTCTCGTTCGAACCCGAAGCCCACTTCTGCGCCTACACCCCGGAAGGTGGCATCAATGCCTGCTACGTGAGTCCTCCTCATCTCGTGTGTATAAACCTTTGGGGACGACGCGTATTCGATTAAACTACAGTATTTAACTTACCCTGTTTACTCATAGTTTTGGACAGTCTATGATGTTAAGCTAGACATTTTTTTTTTTAAGAAGAAAAAAATATTACAGTTAAATAAGGGCGATTTCTGTGGGTCTTTTGGCGTCTTATATTATTTGAGGGCATCCAACATATATTCTTAGAAAAATGACATCCGTTCAATAATTTTTTTTTATACGATGAATGTCTGGAATTTATTTGAACGGATCCTCGCGCCAATTTTTTTTTTTTCTTTTCGAGGGTGCAAGAGTCAGAACCCTGAATTATATTTAAAGCTTTTTATATTGAATAATAATATCAAGTGTGGCATGATGTGTATAATGAGTGAGTACCTTAGATGGAAAAAAAAGGGATGGAATGTTATCGACGATAATTTTACAAAATTGATCATTTACGTTATCGTTTTATTGGACGTTGTCAATTTCAACCTCTCCAAATCTAATCCAAGCCTAAAAAATGCAGCTTTATTGTTAATCCTTGTCCATAGACCTTTTAAAAACCTCGCCGCTGACTCATAACCATCTCTAGCATTCCTTCATTAGCTGAATTTCCCAAAATCTTTGTGCTATTTTAATTCTAGATCTAAATTTATTAACAACTAGCCCCCACCCCCTATTCTTTCTAACCCATGAACAAATTTTAAAAGAGAGGATGTACAAGTGAATTTTGGAGGATTTGTGTCCTTGATTCAACCTCCCATTTATGTCGAAAGAACTAGTCACAGTTGCATTTTGAATCGAAAATTTGAGACTGAGACTGCCTTCATTGGGATTTTTCATACAGTATCAGGAAAATCACAACACGTCACTCAAAAAAAATGTTTATACAGTACAGTATTAGAATTGGAGAGTTTGTTGTAACAAGATATTTTTAACACATACCTCAGAAGATTTCTGCAGGGACTTGGAGAAAAATGTATTGTACTAAAAAATGTGTTGTAATGGTATTTGTTGTAACAAGATTTTACTGCATCACATGTCCATCCAACGGGTTTCCTGTGGGAGTCTTGGATGATGTTCCATCTCATTCAAACATGTCTGTATGGGCATGCATACACCTCCAATTATGCCCTCATTTTTACAGTACAGTGACCCCCCGCCTAACAGACCTCCCGTGTAAGGGAGGTTGAATCAAGGACACAAATCCTCCAAAATTCACTTGTACATCCTCTCTTTTAAAATTTGTTCATGGGTTAGAAAGAATAGGGGGTGGGGGCTAGTTGTTTGTTGAAAATTGAAATTTTTAATTTTTTTTGTAATTGAATTTGTGTAAAGGACTTTTTGTCTAACAGACTTGTCCCTTGCACGAATCAAGTCCATTAGAGGGGGGTTGACTGTATTTTATTCCTCTTTTCATTTTCCTCAGGGTGATTCCGGCGGACCATTGGTGTGCGAGTCCAACGAGGATGGCGAAAGGTACCTCTTCGGAGTGGTGTCCTGGGGTCCATCCACGTGTGGTGAACAGGGATTCCCCGCCATCTACACTGACGTGCTCACCTACTTGCCCTGGATCCTTGAAAACGCTGGGCTGAGAGCCTGAACGCCGATCAAGAGATTCCCCACATTCCCGCTGACCAAAAACACTCACCTCCCTTGAAGTCTCTGTAACGAGGCTTCAGTTTTTGATCAGATATGTGATTCGATCTTCCCTGCTCTTGAGGGCAACAGCGGGACGGTGCTTGAAAATGCACGCCATTTTGATCTACTGTATACGTCCCGTGCTGCTTATTTTTTCTTCATTTCAGCGGGATAGAGTTTACTTCTGCAATGAGATCCTATAGCGCGCCCAATATACAGTACAGTGAGACCCCCACATGCAGACACCTTGACCTGCGGACACTTCAACATGGGGACACTTATTTTATCATAAAAAATTAATAAAAATGGCCCAACTTGAGGACACTGACTCCACATAGGGACATTTTGTTATAAAATTTCAAATAAATTTCAGGCCAAATTACAAGAAACAGATATTTCCAACCTGAAAATTGGTTTAAAAAAGTTCTTGGGCATTTCTCTCACCAATTTACCATCCATTTAGATAATTAGAAAAAATTACCTCAGGCAGAGAGGGACTTCCTTCTCTCTTTTTCACTCGAATATTATTTTTTCAGAGAACACCAACATTTCTATGTACTGTATACAGAGGTTTCAGTATTCAATTCCCCAAATGCCCATATTGTGTTGAAATGTATTGATTGGAATCAGTTTAAATTGGGAGACAATTTTTTATTTTCATGGAATTATGGTGAGTATTTTGTAAATAAAACACCAATTAAAAATTATATAATGTAAGTCTAAGGGAAAATGAGATTTGACTTAGGGACAGTCTTGATGCACCAATTACGTCCGCATCTTGGGGTCTCACTGTATAGTGCAGGGCTTTTCAATGGGAGAGTACATGGAGAACCCCTGATGTATGAGGTGGTATATGCAAATGGATTGGCCTTGACCAGTGGAATGTCAGTGGCTAACTGCTGGTTGAAACATCATCATGGAGACTAATGTATCAAATATGTAGTCATAGGGTAGATTCCCAATATTAAAAAAAGGTATAGCAGAATCTGTCCACAACAAATCGTTGTGCCAGATACCGTAATTATCCCAGGGTACCACATCATGCCCTCAACAAAGATGCACACCAGGGTCTACCATTGAAATATTTCTGAACATTTTCATCATTGAGTATAATACTTGCACCCCATTTTTGTTACTCTAAAACTGCAATGTTTCAAAAATAAAAACACCCAAATTTGAATTTAGACATGAGCCCTTCTGTGAAAATGGGGTTTTTCCCATTGCAGGACTAAGTTATGATTTTCTTGGGTGGGCCCACATTCAAATTTTGTCTAAGGCCATGAAAGCAAAGTTGAGTAGCCTAGGGCAAAAAGTCAGAGTTCATCCAGCAAAACTGTGTAGTTCAGATTTCCCAAAGTTATACTTTTCCCCTTAATATTTTGTGGCCTTTAAATGAAAACCCATTGTCTGGTGCTCAAAATGAAAGTGCCAAGAAGCTGGAAATTAATTAAACTAATCCAGAGATGGAATCAAAAAAAGCACAGCCTTGGCAATGTATTTTCTCAATTTTCGGGCACACTTTTTCTGCAGTATTAAAAAATATGCAAGGATTTTTCCCAACTTTGCCCTGAATGCACTGTTCTGAAAAAGCTTGTCCTACAGGCAACAAAGTTTGCAGAAAAAGACTGAATTTGCTGCCCTAGGGTATATTGATCCTGAGTTCACATAATTTTCAATTATTTCTATCACAAAAAGTTTTTCTCTCAAAATTGGTCCAAAATTTCCGGTTAGAATCAAATATGATGCACACCTGAACTTCTAAAACTTTTTTTAAAAATGTCTACACACCCCTTTTTACCTCTCGATTTTGAGAAAAAAGGTTCATGTGGTGCTTGAGTACATATGGTATTATGGCTAAAAATGAATTCATTCTACAAGTCCTACTCCCCGCGCTTCTATACAAATTTCATTCAACATTAAGCTGATCTGCCTCATCAGTGCTAAACCTTCCAAAATAGAATAAAAATGCTCGTGTGACCTAATACAAATTCAAGTTCGAATCCATGATGAAACACGAAGAAAAGAATCAAGACATGAGTTCCAACCAACGAATTTTCGTGTTCATTTAGAAAAGTTCTCAAGACAACGAAACATCTTAAATACGCATGTTCGCCCAAAAACTTCAGCAACAGTTGTAAACTCAATCCCGAGTACGCTTCCATTGCGACTGATACATTTCCTTCAGTCGACCCATAATAAAAACACTCCGAAAAAAAAAAAGACAGTACGCCCCGAGCAATTTCCGCGGCGAATAAATGGGCATGGGGGTCAAATAAGGTCGTGGAAAATCAAGCCAACACGGAACAAAGTAAAGTAAGCAACGATCCAGTTTCGGGGGATTCGAATTTGGAAGGTAACACAAAAGAAAAAAAAATCGCTTTCCAACAACAGAAAAAACAAACAGAATTTCAAATAAAAAGAAACACACTGTTCCCAATGAAATTCGAGTTCCTTCTTCGACCACACCCACAAAAAAAAAAAAATCGTCGTCATCACAAGCCGGAGCAATACAAGAATTGTTTCTTCTTCCTCATCAACATTGGTCAATCCAGTTGGGGCAGGGGGATTTCGGGGGACACAGACACAGTTCAGTTGACCATTTGCTCGCCGCTTCGCGGGCTCATGGGTCCAGGGGCATTCGGGGTGGCCGGGGTCGAAGGCGCCGCCCCGTTGCCGCCCTCCAGGGCGCGGAGCTGCGTGATTTTGGCACAGATTTTTAGCGCAGGCCCGAGCTTCATCGACATGGCTTGCATGAGATGGTCTGCCTTGAGCAGCAACAACGCCTGGCCGTCGATTTCTTGCAAAAAGAAGTCCTCGGCGTACTCGGAACACCCGCCGATCCCTTTCACCCAGTCGCGCACTTCCGTCACCTGCAGGGCAAAATAAATAAAAATAATTACATCGAGGGATACAGTCGTTGACATTTATTCATAGCACGGAAACACGTGAGCAGTCACGGTTTTGCATAAACTCCTTTCCCCGAATCAAGGCTGAATGAATCGCGACGATAATGCTTATTTTTACTGCATTCCGGTCCAAGAAAAAAGTCACATCAATTCTTCCTCTTGCAAAATAATACTGGCTACAAATCGAAAAAAAGTGTGACACCACTTACATCAGTAAGTTTCAGAGCATCAGTCCTCAAATAGTCAAATTTCACGCCAGATGAACTTAGATTAGTTCAGTTCAATGTACAATAAGTTGACCTCGACAACCGTATCCAATCGAATACAAGACGATCTTTTCTTATAATATTTGCTCAAGAAAATCAGGGTAGTAAATTTTGTTAAAATACTTCTCGCTGTTCATTACTCTTAAAAATCAGAGTAGCGTTTCTCAACATTCAAAAAGTCAAAATCGAAAGTATAGGAAAAATATATATAATGCGCTCGCAACAAGAAACTTGATGCAATCATTTGATGAAATCCCAGGATTAATTCAATCTGAATAATTTAAAACCGCAGACCGCTTTCCGACGTTTCGGGTTGAATTTGAATTTATATTTATAAGCCATTGCGGGCAAATCTCATGAGCATCCCGCCGGTTTGCAAGTGCTCATGAATGCCGATTCCATGTATATTCTCAATTGGACTCGGACATTCAGACTTTAAGTATTTCCAATACTAAGTGGATACAGTACTTCCACACCACCATGCTTTATTACTCTTCACCATGCTTTCATTATGCATTTCTTTGAGCAAATCATCTACAGGGAGCCAAATTATTTGCGAAGAGTCTCAAAAAAAGCTCAATTGCATCACCATGCTTCAGAAGCTCACGAAAAAAATATTTCTTGAGGAAAGCTGTTTGATCAATCTGCTCAGGCAGAGAAAAATCTCCCAAGAAATTTCATTTACACTTGCTAAAGGTGAAATCCCGCTATGTTTGATTGTTATTACTGCATTTCACATTCTAATTAGTCACTACTAGGGAACTAGGGACCTCTAAAAAAAAAGGCAATATAACAGGGGTCAAAAGTCTCATTTCAACAATTTTTTCAGATGCATTAACGTGCTTTCGGTGATTTTTCAGAGTACACTACCAAACACTTGTTGGAATTTCTGAATTTGCTACTACATTTTTGAGTTGAGAAGTATTCACGAACCATAAAAATGTAACGAAGGAATGTCACTAAAGAGAAAATAGATCGACTCAAGAAATGAATCTGACTCTGAAGAGTAATAAAGATAGTTGCCCCGTTCAACCATTCATTCTCCCAAATGAAGTATTGCCCACCTAGATTTTTTCCAGTAATCTGCCCTAGCTTCAAATTTTTCATCTCTCGAATTGTCCCTGTCTCAATTTTACCACTCTCTTATTTTCTCACGTCAATAATTCGTTAACCTGCCCCAAACATTTCATCATGCTTTGAAAATGTTCTGAATCGGCCACGAAAAAGACTCGCCTTCGAAGGAATGAACATCCAATTCATATCTGGAAAATCTTTTAAACTCCTGGCAAACGAAACTCGCTATTACAAAATTTTTGATACAACTCATTTTTCTTCGATTCCAGAATTGCGGTAATGAGATTTCACCTGCAGTGTCTCATCCCTACAACAACAACAAATCTAGCGAAAAAACTGGGAAGAGAGGGAACTGTAAAACTCACACTCCAACGTGCGACAGCGGGTCTGGGACTCAAGGGCCCGTCGGATTTGGGAGAGCCAAGCGCAGCGTCGAGCTGGAGTCCGTCAGTGCCGACACTCGTCACGTCGGCGTGAACCAACTGCAACTCAGGAACCGGATCCCCGTCTTCCTCCATCGGCATCGATCCATCCAACCGCGCTCCCAAGGCCTGATTACTTGAGATCTGCACGCCAAAAAAAAAACGAGAAAGGATGAGGAAAACATGGTCATTGAGTTAAGCTATGTAAGGATGATGAACAACACTTTTCGAACTTTTCTTCTCGCTACTCCTCAACAGTTCGCGCAAAAATAAAAAATAAATACATTCAACTGATTCAGTCGTGTTTCTCAGAAATTGACATTTGAAAATCGCGGTGCGTCTTTCTCTTTGTGAATGCTTAGCTTATTGAATGAATGAATGAACAGATCACTTTACTTGCCGCTTTTCAGCATTCACAAGGTTCAATCAAGAATTCCACATCCAAACCCCCGCCCCACCCAACCCAGATCCACTCAAAGACATTTAATCACTTCAGAGCAGGAAAGTGCTTAGCTTATTTAAAGGTACAATTTGACTCTCTCTAAAACGACCTCGTCTACAACTTTTTTCTTCTGCATCACAATTGTTTTCTTCCTACAATTATGGGGGGGGGGGGGGTTCTTTGCAACGAATTTTTTCTGACCCCTCGAACTTCGTTGCAGAGTCAACCTGCATAAAGATAAGCCTGACCAACCTTTGCGATACAAATAAATTTAAACGTGATCAAAAAAATATCGGTACTAGTACCATCATATTTCGTTACAAAAATTTAACATTAAAGTAAGGCAGTTTTGATGATCAAATGGTTGTCTGGATCATCGTCCTGTTCTTACTTTTTTCTTTTCGATTTTCCATAATGAGTGACACGGAGACGAATTATTTATTGCATCTTTTACCCCTCCAGCTTTGCACAATTTCATAGTTGATCTTTGAAACATGCCCTTCAATTACTCAATGGTTTTTAATTTTTTTAATGCTTTTGAGGACTACCCATAATCTCTGTGAATTGTTCGCAACTGATCTGAAAGTTCTCAAAGTAAAGACCTCAATATCAAATACGAAAAAGGTACATAATTTAAATTTGCGGTATAAGTCATTCCATTCGTCAAGGGTGACGAGTGATTGATGTCGAATAGTTCGGAAATATCGTACGTCAATGAGAGCGTGGATTTTCATACAGTGCGTAATTTTTGCAGAGCTAATGGTGTATTTTTCTGGTCTGTGCAAACAAAAAAGGCACTCCGCGTTAGTACTTTTATTTTGCTTTGGTGCTCAATAGCCTGACTTTGTGCCCAAAGAATGGTCTAATTGAGGTAACCGTCGTCGTGAGCCGCTCATTAGAAGCTATCCAAAGAACGGTGGGTTTAAGACCTACCTGTGAAACCACACACAGAGCAAAACATAAGAATAAAATAAACATACGAAACAGAAAACATTTCAAAGGAATTCCCGCAATCGCGCGATTACTCAACGCAAATACAGTACATGCAATCCTCAGCTTGGAGCGATCTCAAGAGAAACACCGTGTCAAAAACTGACTCTTTAAAATCTGAGTTTCTCCCGAATGTATCATACACGAAGCAAATTTTGCTAATCCGAGAAATGATAGCTTTTCTTCCTCCAGACGACACAGGTAATTTCAGTTGCATAAAGAAAAAAATTACGCTAACCTCAGCGCAAGATCTGTTGGGCAAGCATGCCGCGCATTTAATATTTTGCTAATCCGAGAAATGATAGCTTTTCTTCCTCCAGACGACACAGGTAATTTCAGTTGCATAAAGAAAAAAATTACGCTAACCTCAGCGCAAGATCTGTTGGGCAAGCATGCCGCGCATTTAATATTTAATAATTAATGTAATATCAATTCTTGGAATTGAGAAATCATTCCCCCTCCTCAAAATCACAGTGCCCGGAACTTCCTGGAATCATGGCATCCTTGATTATAGAATTCTTGACCTGATTAAAGGTGTAAAAACCATTGAAGATTAAATATAATTCGGAGTATATAAGCAGCTCATCTAGATCACATCATCATCTGTTGTTGATTCATTATTCAAGTGATTCATTATTCACGTTATTCATTATTCCAACTTATACTAGCTGCACGCTGCAAGAAGAGTTTGCCGAGTCATTCATCAGTTTACTTGTGAAATAAATGCATCCTGTTAAACTAGGAATTCCAACAAAGAATTCCCAGTTTTAATACATTACTCCACGCTCAACATCAAATTATATTGTGGAGACATTTGTCCCCAATAAGATCTAATTTTTTGTCTCTGCGCAAAAAACACTCCGCACTAGTTGATAACTTTGGTCAAAGTAATGTCGATTATCAATTCCTTCTTGGTTTGTTGTCGGAAAGAGTTTACTAAGTTCTAGTATTTTTGCGGTATTTAAACAGGGCATACGTAAGACAGTTGGTAAGAGGTTTTAAATTAGAAGGGTAATTCACTTCACTCAAATATAGCGGAAAAATGACCAAGAACTAGTAAAAAGTGAAGTACGGTGACTTCAAAGCAGAAGAGGAATCTAGAACCTTCCAGACGAGGCAGATGCTGACTTCTGAGTGTGCAATTTAAATTAATCAAGCGTTCCTCCGTGTTTCGCATTCCCCAATCAGCACAGGAAGAAAATTACTTATTACAATCAGAGATGATCAGATGCATTTGAGTCAATTTCCTTGTCCAGAAAATTTGCTTGGGAACAGATAACCGTAATACTGTATACATACTTTGCTATCTCAGTTTAACAAGATTTTTTTCTTTGGACATCGCCTCTGGTCGGTACCCGTCAAGAGATCAATTCCATTTCACCCGTCATCTTAAAGTACACTATTCAATTCAGAAATATATTTTTCTATCGTCAAAGGAAACACAAGGGTCAGTATAATCAGATAGCCCACTATACAAGCCTCATTCTTGACGGTTAGAGTGGTGCCCCGGATAACGGAAGCTTTGCATAACGAACTCGGGCCGCTACAAATTTTCACTTCGAAAAATGAATCATCTTCTTAATTACGTACAGTATTTTCAAAAAATTTTTAGTCGCTCTGAGGAATGCACTTTTTCAGCTCGACAAAATCTGCATCAAACGTTTAAGCCTAAGAATCTATTCTTCTTGAAATGTGCGCGAGAGTCTGTAAGGAAAATTTCCGAGAAATTCTTGAACAGTTGATCAATTCCTCGATAAACCCGCATTACTCAGACTTTTTGGGCAGTCTGACACAACTCCGCCAATTTTACGCGGTTCACATTACTCGCGGAATATAATTTTCAGATTATGGACATCATGCTAGAACGTAAATCCAATCAATTAACCGAAGCACTCCTTTACTGAAGAGGAGGATGAGGAAGAACAAGAGAAAATAACAGTCAAAAAATGGAAAAAAAAGGAGGATGATGCAACGCACTTTTTGGCACAAGCTGGCGAGCAGAATTTGCGAGCCGCGGGGCGCCCGGGTTTCCGCTTAAAGTCAGTCTTGCCGCACATTTCGCAACGCTGCGGATTTTTGCGCGACGCCATTTTCCCACTCGGCTGATCGTCACCCGACCCGAACCCGCTTCCCGGAGACATTCCGCGTCCAGGACTCGACTTTCGCTCGTCGCCAGACAACTCCGATCTCCCGTCGAATTTTTCTGCGCAGAAAGGAAAAAATAAAAATCCCAAGATTATTAATATTTTCTCCATCACTCATCTTTTTTTTTGCCAAGATAAAAAAATGACGGAATGCGGGTTTAAAAAAAAGGCAAAACCACTCGAGTTCCGAAGATTCGAAAAAAAAGAAAAAAGTCATGAATTGTCACGCATTCCGGAAAGCCTGGCACTTTCAGACCGAGAAAAGTTCGAAATCTGTATTTTCCTCATCATGTTCATGACGTGATTACTGCGTAAAATCAAAATTATAATTCAATACAACATCGAAATCCACAAACTAATCAACTCATCCGGGAAACTAATGTTCGAAAGCTTTTTCTCACCCAAATGTCCATTTAAAGCAAAGATCTTACGAACAGTACTTTCGACCTCAAAATTGTTTTCATAAAATCAGTCAAGTCGTACTAGAATATTACACGATTTTCCTGCCTTAGCCGAAAGTTAAGCCTCAAAATTTATAAAATGTGTCCACGCACACTTTCGTTCTGTCATGAAATTCCGCTCAACATCTGAAACCGTACGACGTCCCAATATTTTCTGAAGGAATAAAATCGTTGTTTTCATAAAAAAAGGAAACAATTTCTTTCACGTCACTTTTTTGTAATACAATCGAAGAAAATCTAGAACAGAAAAACCAGCCCACTCGAGACTTCATGCTCAATCGAAGTACATTCATTTTTCAAAGCAGAAAGGCAGGCAACGAGACTTGCTTTCAAGAGAAAGGAGGAAAGGAAATTAAAAACCCAAGGAAAATTCCGCCAATTTCTTTTTTCGTCACGGATATAAAAACAAATAAATTGATAAAATAAAATGACGCGATACTCACTGGAAAGAGATTCGTCGCCGCTGTCGTCAGAGAATCGACGCTTCACGGCACCAGACAAAGTCGAGGTATTAAAGCCATCCTTCTTGAGATCATCGTTTTCTTTCTTGGTCTTGAAGTCGGAAAACGGTTCCGGGCCTGTTTCGGAAGAACAGAGGAGAATTCCATTGTTTCGTTTCGGTCAGTTACTCAACTCACACATCATGGAAAAATGAATAAACTGGAAGAGGGCTCATGAAAAAAAAAACGAGAAATGCAGTAACCGGGCAACCACAGGACGGAACGAAATCGTTTCAGACTCTTTCTTGATTCACCTCCAAAAACAAAAACGACGAAAACTTTGTAATGAGGTTGAACCGAAACAATAAAAGCATGGTATTTGAGTCGGTAAGAAGTCTTCAGAGTACCGCGGAAATAAAAACAAAAAGAAAGGAGCCATTTAAATAAGCTTCCACTTTGCGAAGCACTGTTTGCACTGACGAAAGGAGGTCACACACAAAAAAAGGAATATAAAATATATAAATATAATATTATATAATATAATATAAATGATAAATTCCTCGATACAGAGGGAAACACATTTGGCGTCGAAATCAAAGGCTCATTATTTTTGCACTCGGATTTCATACTCGACAGAATATTTTAGAAGAATAGCGGCGAATCTTGAACTAAATTTCCGCCTCAGAATAATGTTCGACTTGATTGATTTTCTTAGCCGATCGAACTCTCGGAGCTTTAAGCTGGAATAAAGCTGAAAGCCCACATCAAATTCATCTGCTGGAAAAACTATTCCGTACGCACGTGCCGAATAAGAAATATTTGTCATTAGCAAAAAAAAAGAAAAGTTAACGTTTCGTACAGCCTACTATCAAAGGTACCCTTTAGAAGACTTTCCCCCTATTTGCGGCACACTGCTTAGTGTTTGGTCTGTTTATCGTGTCAGTGCAATCTGTTAACATCACAAAGAACGCGGTAATTTTTACGCTGTCGACATCAACACGTGACTTTCCCAGACCAGGTATTCAGCATTTTCATGTACTATACTGTACTGCAGTAGCCTGAATGATTTTCTTCAATTAAAAATTAACAAAATGTAGAAGTCCAACTAAACCCCGTCCGTTCCAACCCTCTTTAACCCGACTTCCTACCAAGCAAACAAATCAAAACCAATCGAACTGCAAATGCGCTGTGGACAAGTTGCCAGGCCTTTTTTTTCAAGGGACTCAAACTTCAGAGTACTGTACAGTATAATACCAGGTTTTAGCTTTGTTCCCAAAAAACCCATGCACTTCACGTGTTTCTTCCATTCGCTGATGTGCGACATAAATTGGACAAAATACGCCGCTTTTCTTGTAAAATATTTTTCCAAAATATTTTTGAACTGAACTAGTCCAATATTTTTCGATCAAAAGGAAAAATGGACACGCCTAAAGGTAACTCAAAAAAGATCATACCGTGAGCCCCCGCATACGAAAAAATACTCAACCAAATTTTTAATAGCAGGAAAAGTTGAAAAAAATGACTCTCCTAATGGGTCACAAGGTATTTCCTGAGTCGCAATTTTTTCTTATTATTCATGTTTTCACAGGTACTTTATCATCTTTTCAACCTGTTTTTGTCAACCCATGAACCAAATGAAATGGCAGGAAAATGTTCGTTGCGTGATGGCATCTTTTCAAAGCCCATGTGAAGAGCAACTCTACCTTGGATTCTTACGAGAGAAAAAAAGAATGAACACTGTAGAATCACCTGACTTTATTAACCAATAATGTTAAGAAGAACTAGTGAAAAAGTGTTCGTCCACATTTGTTCACATCTTCCTTCTGAGGTATTAACTTTTTCACAATTGAATTCATGGTCTTGGGAACGAAGTCACATTCTTCACAATGTTTCACATTTTTCACGTGTGTTGACCACGCAAGGAAGTTTCAGAATTTTGAAAGAAAAAAATCGTGGAATATATTAATTCTGTCACGCGGGAGTCGAATACAGGGGCATTTTTCACAGCTATGAGAAACAATCGAGTTTTCCGGTTTGAAAAGTATCCCTAAACGAATTTTTATTGCGAAAAATGCAGGGTGTCAAGTGAAGAACGATTTTTTTTTAATTTTCTACCAAGCTTTTGAGCAGAAGAATTGACATGGAAACTCCCGAGGCATCAAAGAACTCGCTTCGCAACAGACGTGGAACAGAAGAAAAAAAAAAAAGGCGATAACCGGTCATGAAACTCTCTCTCTCTCTTTCTCTCCCTCTCGACTTCTTCCAATATCCCTCTCGCATAATTCCCTTCATTTTTGCCTGCCTATTCTTCATATGTTCCCCCTCCCGCTTCTCTCTCTTCACCACGTGATCATTCCTTCTTTTTAGCAATAACAGCCACCAAGTCCTCGTACTTTTCTTTCCATCTCCCTC